ATACATAGATCTATCTATATACATATATCACTCTCTGTTTCAATCCTTTTCCACAGCATAAGAATTTATATGATCAGACAATTTAAATTAAGTGGAATAAGTTAAATTTCAAGCTCTATTTCTCCATAACCACGTGGTTCTCTTCCTTTCTACTAATGTTTTATTTTCTTACTAGTGAAGGCTGTTATTTATTGAATTTCTTATGTTTTCATTTTTCAGAAGAGACCCATTACCTAGACCCACCACATCTTCACCCCTCTTGTCTACTTATGTTTTCTGAGGTGGCCCTCAGCCCCTCACCTCTTCCCCATTACCTTAATTTGTCTGAGAAATGCCAAGAGTTTATTTTAATAAGGACTAATATCCTATATTGATAAGAATAGTGATCCCCAGGCCAGTTTTTGGTTTATTCTAAGGGCTCCCACCTTTCCAGATCATTCAAAATGGCTTACTATATGATTGCAAATGTTTCAAGTAGTGGGTTATATAAACTATATCAATAAATATTAATAATTAAGGGAAAATTTAGTCTAAAGATTAAAAGACTTTCCATACTTTAGGTGAAATTTTTTTCCATGAATGTCTGATTTGATCTTTAACTTTAGATTTCCAGGCCATGGGATTGAAGAAAGGAATGTTTTTCAATCCAGACCCTTACTTGAAGATTTCCATTCAACCTGGGAAACACAGCATATTCCCTGCACTACCCCACCACGGACAAGAGAGGAGATCCAAGATCATAGGCAACACTGTGAACCCCATCTGGCAGGCTGAGGTGAGTTCCATGGGCCATTAAAAGAAGACTTACATGGCAGAGTAAAGTGACTAACTATGGAGCAGCTTGTATGCTTCAAACTCCAAACTCATTATTCACTTGGTGTTAGAAGGAAGAAATGTTCTTAGAAGGGTTGCAGTTCTTAGATATCTTGATCAAGTCCCACAGGGAAGTACAAAGAAACGATTCATCATGGATAACCTCATTAGCCATGTAATGGCCTTTCCCTCTTATCCAGAATCTGCACTTAGAATCCCTCCACCTTGTATGGGAGAAGACGGAGTAGACGGAGATTTAATCTGAGAGCTTTTTTACTTTTCCCCTATATGTAGATGACAAGTGAGAGTACCAAATTTTATTCTATTGTTTTTAAGTTTTATTGTGTATATATATATATATATTTTTACCATCATCCTTCATTTTTGTACAATGCATGCTTTCTTTTTTCAGGTATAGTCTTCACAAAATTTCCATCACCAACTCGCCCATGCACCATCACCATAGTCCCTTGTGTAAAAACACATCCCTTCCCCTGTTTTGATATCTCTCTCCTTCCCCACCTGTAGAGTGTCTATGGTTAATAGTTGCCTGTTAAACTTGGGTTTTGATTTGTTATAATATTTTTTTTCCTGATCCTTTATGTGGTTTCCATAAATTCCTCTTATAAGTGAAACCATCTGATAGTTTTCCTTTGGCTTATTTCACTAAGTTAATCCTGGTTCCATGTTGAGAATGACACAAGTTTATCTTTTTTGATTCCTGAATAGTATTCCACTGTATAATATACCACATCTTCTTGATCCAGTCATTTATTTTTGGGCATTTGGGTTGTTTCTATAGCTCACCTGTTGGAAGTACTGCTTCAATGAGTATAGGGGTACAGGTATCCTTTTGAATTAATGTTTTTGTGTCCTTTATGTAGATTCTTAGGAGTGGAATTGCTGAATAATATGAAAGCTCCATTTTTAGTATTCTGAGGAAACTCCATACAGTTTTCTATAGTGGTTGGACCTGTTTTTATTCTCACCAGCAGTGTAGGAGGGTTCTTTTTCTCCACATCCTTGCCAACACTATTGCTTCCTGTTACTTTAATATGTGCCATTCCATATAGTATAAAGTGACATTTCATTGTGGTTTTGATTTACATTTCCCTGGTTACAAATTATGTTCAACATTTCTTTTATATATATTTTGCCCATTTGGAGAAGTGTCTTTTCAGATCTTCTACCCATATTTTGACTATATTGTTTACTTTGTATTTCTTGAGATGTGTGAGCTCTTTGTAGACCTTTGTGATTAGTCTCTTATCAGTTGTATTATGTGAATTTTTCCCCCATTCAGTAGGGTATCTCTTTGTTTTGGTAAACCCACATATCTATGGACAACTAATCTTTCACAAGTTTACACCGAATATACAATGGAAGAAGAAAAGCTTGTTCAATAAATGGTGCTGGAAAATTGGACTGCTGCATGCAAAAAAAAAAAAAAAAAAATGAAGCTAGACTACTACTTTATAGCATGCACAATAACCAACTCAAAAAGGGGTTAAAAGGGGCCCTCCCTGGTGGCAGGATACAGCACTGCAAGCTAGCAGCAACTGGTTCAGTGCAAATTTGATCCCCAGCCCCAGAGTTGACCCACATGGCTCAGGAGACCTCTCCTTTCTCACCTGCTGCTCCCCTCAACAGTGTATTTCATTGATCTGCCTATTCTGCTCCCACTCTGTCTCTAGTGAATTCTCATACTGCCCCTGCTCCTCTGGCCTGTACCCCAGTTCTATATGCAAAACAAATAGATAAATATTTTTAAAACGTTGTTAATGTACCAAATCAGATCTCTTTTAAAAAATGGATAAAAGACTTGTACATAAAACCTGAAGCCATAAAATATATAGAAGAAAATACAGGCAAAACACTACCTGACATTCATCTCAGCAACATCTTTAAAGACACATCCCCCAATGCAAAAAAAAAATGAACAGCTAGAACTAAATTAAATTAAAAAGCTTCTGCACAGCAAAAGAGTGCAAATTTTAAATGTGCATCTCTGGATCAGTTCTATTAATTCTGAGACTGTTAGAAATTAGGAGATTCTTCAGTAAAACTACTTGTATGACTCAAAATCCTAGTGACTAAATCCTCTCATATAGTACTAGCAGAAAGTTGTCACAAACCATTTTACTGCCTAATTTTCATGCTTTGACGGAAGAGTGTAAACTGCATGAATTGGGATGCAGGGAGATTTAAAGTATAAGAGCGATAGTTAAAAATATAGTGTTGCACATACCTCAACATGATAAACCCACAGCCAATATTATCCTCAATGGAGAAAAGCTAAAAGCCTTTCATTTGAGATCAGGCACAAGACAAGGGTGTCCACTATCACCACTGCTCTTCAACATAACACTGGAAGTTCTAGCCAGAGCAATAAGACAGGAAAAAGGCATACAAGGAATCCAAATAGGGAAAGAAGAAGTAAAACTGTCCTTATTTGCAAATGATATGTTAATTTACATGGAAAACCCTAAAAGCTCCACAGAGGAACTAATCAAAACCATGCACCAGTTTAGCAAAGTAGCAGGATATAAAATCAATACACAAAAGTCAGAGGCTTTCCTATACACAATCAACCAACCAGAGGAAGCAGAAATTAAAAAAAAAAAAATCCCCTTTTCATTTAAAGCAAAAAGAGTCAAATACCTGGGAGTCAACCTAAGAAATTCGGTAAAAGACCTCTACAAAGAAAATTATAAAACACTGTTAAAAGAAATACAAGAAGACACCATGAAATGGAAAGACATCCCCTGCTCATGGATCGGGAGAAGTAACATCATCAAAATGGCCATCCTGCCAAAAGCAATCTACAGATTTAATGCCATCCCAATAAAAATCTTAATGACATTCTTCAAAGAAATAGAAAAAAGTTGATGAAAATCATATGAAACAACAAAAGACCTCGAATAGCAAAAACCTTCATGTCTAAGAAAAAACAAAATGGAGGCATTACAATCCCAAACTTCAAGCTGTAATAATAATAAAGCCATAATAATCAAAACTGCATGGTACTGGAATAAGAATAGACATACAGACTAGTGGATTCGAATAGATAACCCAGATATAAACCCACAAGTTTATGGACACCTAATTTTTGACAAAGGAGCAAGAAGATACATTGTAACAAATAAAGTTCAGCAAATGGTGCTGGGAGAACTGGGAAACTACATGCAAAAAAATGAAACTAGATCACTGCCTCACTCCAGTCACAAAAATCAACTCGGAGTGGATTAAAGACCCAGACATAAGAACGGAAACCATAAAATACCTGGAAGCAAAGATGGGCCAAA